CTCTCCCACTCTTCTCACATAGTTCATCTGGCAGTACATTATGGATAAATAACCTGATCTTTTAAGGGAGATGTCCCAGCTCCTTTCTCCCTGTTCTCTACCACACAAGGTTGCAGGGAGCTGATGAGGTAAAAAGAAATTGTGCAAGAATACATGCACATGTGTGTTGGGGGTGGATGTGCCCTTAGAAGTGATAGTATTTTTATTTCCTCTGCCAGGTGACAAGGAGCCCTGTGCACATTCCAACTCTCGCTTTTGTGCACCGGCTCGCCAGTGCCCCATTATGGACCCAGACTGGGAGGCCCCTGAGGGTGTCCCCATTGATGCCATCATCTTTGGAGGCCGCAGACCCAAAGGTAAACATCATGTGGATTCCATGCTTCCTCATGGCCCACCCACTCTTGTGCTTAAAGCTCAGGGAGGCTCAGCCTGGATCGCCAACTGTAGCTGTTAGCTTCAAAAGGCACAGAGAGGCCAAGTAATTGCCCAAGGTCACCCAGTAAACAGTAGAGCCAAGGGTAAACGATAACTGCAGAGACATGTCTCTTATAACAGCACAGACCTGTAGAACTGTAAGGACCTTAGAAGTTACCTACTCCGTGCTTCTCAAACTTAAGTTCAGGGAGCCTCAGCCTGGATCACCAACTGTAGCTACCTGTCTCCAGAGCTCTCTCCTGGAGAATGCAAAATTGGGGAGTGGCATGGGGTTTGCAAATGGGACAGCCGAGGTCCTAGGAGAAGAAGATTGGAGTTAGAGTCACCAGAAAGGATGGAGTGAGTCTGATGAAAAGGGCTGCCTCTGACCCTGTTCACTGGTCTTCTAGGAGTACCCCTGGTATACGAGGCCTTCAACTGGCGCCATGGAGTGTTTGTGGGCAGTGCCATGCGTTCTGAGTCCACTGCTGCGGCTGAACACAAAGGTAAGCAGCCTCCCGTAGTCCATCTCCCGTGGGCCCATGTTACCTCTTCTCTCCATTCCTGAGCCAGACCTTCCTCCTGCCCAGCGCTTCACTAGTAACTTTTCATTTTGCCCTGAAGATATTCCAGAACTATGAACATTTCACAACTTCCTCCAGCTATATGCCAGGTGCCCTTTTCCCCGGTAAAGGAGGAAGATTCCTTACCTATTCTCTCCCCTCTCCAGGGAAGGTCATCATGCACGACCCATTTGCCATGCGGCCCTTTTTTGGCTACAACTTTGGGCACTACCTAGAACACTGGCTGAGCATGGAGGGGCGCAAGGGTGCTCTGCTGCCCCGCATCTTCCATGTCAACTGGTTCCGGCGTGATGAGGCGGGGCATTTCCTATGGCCAGGCTTCGGAGAGAATGCTCGAGTGCTAGACTGGATCTGCCGGCGGCTAGAAGGGGAGGACAGTGCCCAAGAGACACCCATCGGGCTAGTGCCAAAGGAAAGCGCCCTGGATCTCAGAGGCCTGGGAGCCATAGACACTCCCCAGCTGTTCTCGCTCCCTAAGGACTTCTGGGAACAGGAGGTTCGTGACATTCGGAGCTACCTGACAGAGCAGGTCAACCAGGATCTGCCCAAGGAGGTGTTGGCTGAGCTGGAAGCCCTGGAAGGACGTGTACGCAGAATGTGACCCTGAGGCTCCAGGCTAGCCAGAGAGCACAGTACCACCTTACCCACCATCCCCATCGAAGACTAGAAGACTCATTAGGCTTGCAGAAAATAAGAGCAATTTGATGTAACTAACACCTTCTGAGTGCCATGAAACCAGGCCATAGACCCTTCCCCACACACTGTCCAATAATAAGACATGCTCATTTATTTTACATAACATTTATGTTTTCATTTCCCACCTATCTTCACAGGCTTCCCTCTAACACCCATTTCACAATCTTCCAGTCCCTCCAAGCAGCTGATGTCCCACAGGCACCTCTGCCATTGGGCCATCTAAGTAGGCATTGCTGGGAGAAGGCACTATATACTCAGACCTGAGGACTTTAAAAGGTGTGTGTGTTGGGTGGGGGGTGCTCTGCAAGCTGCTCAGTGCAGCCTCTAGGCCTAAAATTCCTGATTACCCACTCAGACGAGCAGAAGGCTCTGTAACCTCATTTTCCAGTGAAGTGGTTCCATTTGTTGATTTCTCAGACCTGAAATTGGGGCTCACGAAAATACTCATGAAAGCTTATTCAGTATTAAGACAGCTAACACTTCTATAGATAGCACCTTCTATGTGCCAGGCACTGCTCTAAGCACATTACAAAACAACACTTTGTGGCAGGTACCATTTTACAGATGAAGAAACAAAGGCACGGAGAGTAATAGCCCATGGACACCCAGTAAACAGTTGAGCTAAGGGTAAATAACTGCAGAGACATGTCTCTCATAGCAGCACAGACCTGTAGAACTGTAAGGACCTTAAAAGTCACCTAGTCCATGCTTCTCAAACTTAAAAGTGCGTATGAATCACCTGGGGACCTTACTAAAATGAAGATTCTTATTAGCAAGTCTGAAGTACCCTGGAGATTGTTATTCTTATAAGCTCCTGAGTGATGCTGATGCTGCTGGCTCAGAGGCCATAGTTTGAATAGCAAGACCTTGGCCTAAACTACAGAAAACTATGCAAAACTCTGAAATCAACTTTAGAGGGAAATCACAAAAAGAGCAATGGTCCTACATAAATCGGGGGTATTAGCTGAAGATAACTTCACCTATGATCTGAATCAGGCTGAGTGAACGTATAAACTGAGCTGGGGAAGATGGAAGTCTGTACCCCAAATATGAGAGCAAACTTCAACAAATAACATGGAATTACTAGGAATTCCCTCAAAAGGAAGAAACATCAAGTGTTCTAGAAAACAGCCAACAACCTATAATGTGTAAGAGCAGAAAAGAATCTAAAAGTCAGAGTGGATCACATGCTAAAATACAGTGGGCAATGCAGTCCATTGTAATTAAAGATATATAACCAAATCCTCAGCTTCATAAATAGCATGTAATGGCTGAAACAGTATGATCAGAGGCAGCATAACAGATGTTAGGTACATAGTAGACTCAGGCCTGGGGTGCCTCTCAGTTTCTTTATCTGTAAAAGGCAGATGTGCCTACATATCATAATGTTATTAGGATTAAAACAGTCAGTGGAGCCAAGCACTCAGAACTATGCCTGGCATGGAGTAACCACTTGAATATATGTTAGCTGTCCTCACCTTTCCACTCCATGTTGATTAGGCTCCGTAAGCCTACATTATATATTGCTCACTCTACAGTTTAAGAGGAAAATTAGCAACAAAAATAACATTTAAGGGAGGAATAAAATGGGTTTGGAAGTCCCTCCAGGAAAGAAGCAGAGAACTGGGGTTCCAGGCACTCTTATGGTATCTAAATGTACAGTGATGTTAAAGTGTTAGCCTTAAAAATAATTTTGTTGATTAGAACAAAATTGGGCCACATGCCCTATAGCTCCAGATAAATGATACAATATAGATAACACATTTTAATTAAGCTTTTAACAACATAGATACAGAAAACCATGCAAAACAAAGGTATAGCTTAATAAAGTAAATATTCTTGAAACTATCACCTAGAGAAACAGAACTTTGCCAGACACCAAAAGTCCCCCTCACCCCCTCACCACATTCTTCACCTCCATCACAGCCCCTCCTTCCTGACCTAAATGGATACTATGGTGCATGATAATCACTTTCTTGCCTTTTTTTTCTTGGTAGTTTCGTCACCCACATGTGGATCCCCAGACATTACAGTATAGCCTTACTCATATGCTTTTTAAGTCTCTTTCAATCTACAGGTTCCCCCTCCATTCCTTTCTTTTCCTTCAGTTCAAACATTGAAGAATCTAGCCCTAGATGCTCGATGCCTAGATTCATTAATTTATTAGGGATTTCAAAGCAGCCATTACTAAACTCTTTCATAGTAGCTGGAATATGTTTACGAAGGGATACTTCCTTTATCTTCTATTTCATTACCATGAGGTACAGTTCGTGTAAGAACAGCAAGATAACTGCTTCTTTTCCTTTATTTACCATCTTCAAAATGATTTGTTTTCAGAGGAGGAGGAGGAGGCAGAGAAGGAGGCCGTGGGGGGTGGGGGGGCAGAAAAAATATTTGTTTTCTTATCCTTTAAAAAAGTGAGCAATTAGTTACATATAAACACATAAACACACCATTATGAACTCATGGATTTAAACACAATGTTTATTAAATTATCCTTATTAATGCTCAAATTGTCCCATCTTTGACCATGAGAGCTTGGCTCCTGAGTTATTTTGACATTACCCTGATAGCGTTTGTTGGCTCCTTTGCTACCTGATGTGATAAGCTTCCACGCTCATCTTGTACATTTCCTGCCCCAGACCTGGAATCAGCCATTTACCCAAGTTCTGATTTCTTTCTGTGGAAAATGGTATTTTAAGATCTGAGTGGCAGTGTCCATTGCTACTAAAAAGCTTTCTAGACCTTTTTAGTGGATAGGGATAAGTAGATAAAACCCCTGAAGAGTTCATACTGACAGTTCCTATTCAAACTCGGGGCTAAAGGGGTTTTAATTTCTATATCACATCTGTACTTCCTGTCTGCCACACACAAAATTCTGATTCTCAAAGACACAGGACACAAGAGTATTAGAAATCCCATAAAGACTCAATTACTTTATAGTCAACACATTTTAAATCCTAGGTAAATTAGCATACTTCCCCCTTTCCTCTACACAGAGAATGCTGCATGAAGCTAATGTATAAACACGTCATCAGTCACTTCAGAAGACAAAACTCTCCCTTGTGTTGCTGGTGTACACGTGTCCCAGGAGCTCTGTGCAGTCACCAGGAGCTGGAATGGGAAGACAGTGTTAGCCAGAGAAAAATATTTGCTTTCCTCTCTCCTCTCTAGCCCAGCCCGCCCTCTGGTGGAGATGCTAAAGAGCAGGAAGCAACCCAAGGCAGGTCAAACAGGAAGTCAACTAGCTGACATTTACTTAGCAATTACCAGAACTGGTCCTAAAATGGGTGCTAAAGGTAGAAAACCTCTCTGTGGCTTTAAGTAGCTGGGGAGAGTAGAGACTGCCCAAATGAAAATCACTTTACAAATTGTCACCAAGCAACATTCCAAATTTCAAAATCTTGAGAGGGAATGCCAAAAAAGTTTATTAAAATGACTTAATTACAATTATTTTTAAAGAAATGCCATTTTCTTTCAATAGAACTCATAGTATACCCTAAGATATAACTGCCCGTATACGTTTTTAATATAAGTCACAAGTGACATAAGCAAGTTCATAGGCTTAAAAATCTTTTACGTACAAAAAATCAGCAGATTCAGAAATGAAATCCTATATTCTTTAGCATATGATTTGATGTGGAAACTCATTTTGGTCACAAAACCTGACTTGTTTTCACATTTACCACGACTTATGTTTTACTCAATAATGTACAATTTCCACAATTCGAAGGTTTTAATTTATATTTTATTCCGTTTTAAACTGGATTTGTAAGTGTTAAGAAGCCAAGGAGAGGACAGAGAGAGGTAATCAAAAAACGCATTAAGATTAGTTTAAGTCTACAGCCATTCCACCCTGAACAAGCCCGATCCCGGCTGATCTCGGAAGCTAAGCAGGGTTGGGCCTGGTTAGTACTTGGATGGGAGACCACCTAGGAAAACCAGGTGCTGTAGGTATAAAAAATAAAAAATAAGGGATTGTAAACTGACAAGGTCCTTGCAATCTGTGAGGTCAACCAAAGGTTGCCTCACACACACACACAAAAAAATTAGTTTAACAGGAGTTTTTGGGTTTTGTGGACCTGGGGTGCTCCAATTGTTCATGCTATACCTTTGTCATTAATTCATGCAAGGCCTTCTCCATTGTTATTTGTTTAATGGTATAATGAGCCTGTGTATTTTCATATTTTTTAATGCAAAACTGAAACTGTTACTGGAGAGTGGGGATCCTCTCCCAGCACATTGTCCAGATTCTTGATTTCTCATACAAAGAATTGAGCAAGACACCGAAATACAGTAGAAAAGTTTTATTAGAAGGGAAAGTACACTTAGAAGGGAAAGTACACTTCCAGAAGTGGAAATGGGCCTGAGCAAGAGAAGCGTGGCTCAAAAGGCCTGGTATTAAAGCCTTTGGGGTTTTTATCCCTATTTGCTGTGGATGGTTACTTTTCTTAGAGGACTGGGCTTCCCTGATTGACAACTAAGATCGACAGGACTCAGCGATTTGTCACTTTGTGTTCTGCACATGTTTGTTCCCAGAATTCAGTCTGTTATAATGATATTAATGAACTTCCGGGCATATGCGTCATATTATAATGGTGGTATAATAAGGCTCAGGTGAGTTGAAGGTCGTGGGGGTCAGATACCA